TGAGGTAATCAGTCCCTCAGCCTTGAGTCGATGTGGTCAGTCCATCAGATTGATGGACTGATTACCTCATTATCCCACTGTTCTTCATGTTTCTCCTTTGTATGGACTGATGAAGCAACTGTGTGGCGAAACCTTTCCTCAATAAAGATACCCAAGAGTTGCACATGTGTCTAATTTATCAACGTGTCGGTTCTCTGAACCATTCATCTACAATTCTATTACCACATCTGAGTAATTGAAATTTCTCATCGTTGAACTTTATGTTGTTTTCTGCAGCCCATTTGGTTGATGTCCACCTGGAGCCTTGCAGTGTCTGCTATGGAGGACACTGTCATGCAGATTCGGGTGTTATCTGCAAAGTAAGACACGGTGCTGTAGCTGACATCCTTGTCTATGTCAGATATGAGGATGAGGAACAAGATGGGAGCGACTACTGTGCCTTGCGGAACAGAGCTTTGCACCGTAGCCGCCTCGGACTTTACTCTATTGACTACTTCTCTTTGTGTTCTATTTGTCAGGAAATTTTAGATCCATCTATCAACTTTTCCTGTTATTCCTTTATCACGCATTCTGTTTGTCTTCTAGTGCATCCACGACTTTGCCGTAGTGATCCCGTAGTTGGTGCAGACAGGAACGACTTGCTCTAAACCCATGTTGCCCTGGGTTGTGTAATTGATTGGTATCTAGATGGGTGGCGATCTTGCTTCTTAGGACCCTTTCAAAGATTTTTATGATATGGGACGTTAGCGCTATCGGTCTGTAGTTCTTTGCTATTGCTTTACGGGATATGTCTGTTGCTTTTAGTAACTGTGGGACAACCCCAGTGTCCATGCTCCCTCTCCATAGGATGTTAAAAAGCACGTGATAGGGGCTTCTTTCAGTTCTTGATGAACACAGAGTTCCATGAATCTGGACCTGGGACAGAGTGCATGGGCATGTCATTTATCGCCTGTTCAAATTCATTAGGTGTCAGGATGATGTCAGTTAGGTTTGTGATTACCAAATTCTGTGGCTCTCTCTTAAAAAAATCATTTAGATCTTCGACTCTCAGTCTGGTTAGCGGCTTGCTAAAAGCCGAGTCATACTGGGACTTGAGTAGCTCACTCATTTCCTTGTTGTCATCTGTGTAGGACCCATCTTGTTTAAGTAGGGGCCTAATACTGGATGTTGTTCTCGACTTTGATTTGGCATAAGAAAAGAATTACTTTTGGTTCCTTTCGATTTCATTTATGGCTTTTAGTTCTTCCCGCGATTCTTGACTCCTATAAGATACCTTTAGCTTTAGTTCGATGTTTGCTATTTCTCTGACCAGTGTCTCCCTACGCACTGCAGATATATTGGCCTCTTTTAGCCACTCTGTTATTCTTTGCCTTTGCTTGTAAAGGGAGCGCCTGTCTCTTTGTAGTTTGCATCTCTTCCTTTCTCTTAAAGGAATAAGCCTTGAGCATAAATCGAGTGCCACAGAGTTAATCTGTTCTAGGCATAAGTTGGGGTCTGTGTTGCTTAGTCTATCGTCCCAGCTTATATCATTTAGGACTTGGTTTACTTGGTCCCACTTTATGTTCTTGTTATTGAAGTTGAATTTGGTGAAGGCTCCCTCGTGACTGATCCCATTTTGTCGGTCTGAGGCTCCACGCATACATGTCTGAACCTCGATTATGTTGTGATCTGAGTATATTATTTTTGATATGGTGACATTTCGTATCAGATCATCATTGTTAGTGAAGAAGAGGTCCAGTGTATTCTCCAATCTAGTAGGCTCTATTATTTGTTGGTTTAAGGTGAATTTTATGCAGAGATTTAAAAGCTCGTGTTTGTGTGAGTTTTCATCTGAGCTGGCTCCTGGTGTTATCTTTGCAACAACATTTGCTATATTCCTCCATTTTAGGTGCCTTAAGTTGAAGCCCCCCAGGAGCAAGATGTTGGGTGCAGGAGCTGGAAGATTTTCCAGACAGTGGTCAATTTTCAACAGCTGTTCCTGGAATTATTGAGACGTTGCATCCGGAGGCTTGTAAACTACCACAATGACTAGATTTTGGTTCTCGATCTTTACTGCTAAAACTTCAACTACATCATTTGAGGCATTTAGCAGTTCTGAGCAAATAAGTGACTCTGGGATATACAGTTCAACCACTCCCCCCCACCTTTTGGCTGTTCACTCTGTCGCATCTATATAGGCTGTAACCCGGAATCCATATTTTGTTGTCCAAGTGATCCTATATGGGTCATTGTGAAAGCCGCGAACATTGCATTTGACTATAAGCAGTCCATGGATGAAAGGTGCTTTGTTGTTTATTGCTGGCTTTAGACCCTGTATATTTGCAAAGACGAATGTCATTAGATTGGTGGTATTGGTGGTACTGGGAGCAAGTAAGTTTCCTGGCATTAATATCTGTATCTGTTGGTTTGGAGTGGAGGCCATCGACACTGATTCCACTCCAGAAATGATTGGATTTCCTGCCAGTTTTTTTTCCTTCCTGGCGCTAAAAAAACCTCTCTCTCTGGAGTGGTTGTGGCTACCTCGGTTTTCCCAAGGTCTGGATGTTCTGTGTCTTCTTGTTCCCTTTAGATGGTGTGTCTGGAAATATAAGTTATAGCACTGTCTTTCCTGAACAGAAGAGTGACACATTTCAGTTTGGGAAAGCTTACAGGAAGGGAGGTTGCATTTTCCTGTTGTCATGTAGGCATGGCATTTTCTGGGGTAGTCAAAGTTGCGTCCAATCTGTTTTTCCAGATATTCCATGCCTGCAGATACCAAGTGCATAATATTTGCATAGGCCTGGTTTCTGTTTGCCTTGGATTTTTGACTGTATTCCCTACTAGTGCATGTTTTCCTGTCTCATTTCTATTTTCACTAGTACTAACAATGGAGCTTTCACCAGTTATTTCTGGTAATTTATCCTCACTATTTTTTGTTTGCTATCCCCTGTGGCGTTGCTAGTTTGTAATATTGATTTTGTCTTGTCCTTGACTACACATGTTTCCCCACTACAGCTCCTGCCTCCCTCCAGGCCACTAATATTCATTTCTCCATGCTTGCAGTTACTGTCTACCAGGACAGCATCTCCAGTCATACAGTTACTGTCTACCAGGACAGTACTTCCAGTCATATAGTTACTGTCTACCAGGACAGTATCTGCACCATGGGTGGTTGCACCATCCTGCCCAGACTTTTTATTTTCCCATCAGTTATAGAATGCTTTCAGATTTTTCATGAAGGCCGTTTTGATGTTATTCACTTTTAATACCAATGTGATTTTATTCCATAGATTGATCTCATTTGGACATACACAAAAATGCTTTCTTGATTTAATAATTCTTGGATATTTGCACATGGAGCATGGGCCCAATTACTACAAAAGTTGCATGTAATCCATGAGGAAGCCCGCTTGTTTGTTTGGCTGCAGACTACACAGGATTTCATAATGTGATTTTAATGGTTGATTTACTGTACATTCTACTAATAACCTCCTGTATATTGTATTAATAACCTACTTAAAGTGTAGATCAGACTATTTGTAATGTATCTATTTGTATTTGTAAATGTATATTTGGACAGGCTTACCACTCTTGTAGTTACTGTTTGGGTGTTTGATAAGGGCACTTAAGACCTTGTCTGTTTATAGTCCAGTCAGAGGATACCTTATTTTCCAACGAATCCATCTGAAACCAGTCAAAGGTTTGCTTATTTCTTGGATGAAATAAGACGAATCTGGTCAGTGCATCACTTATTTGAACGTATCCATTCGGTGATTTTGGACTAACACATGAAGGAACTACTAGAAAATTATTTAGCAGAGTAATATGTGATCAGTTTGATACAAAAGTATAATTTGCGTGTTGGAGAAACCGGTGATTTCTGGCAGCTGCTACTATGACCAACGGTCGAGACCTCAACCCTTATTTACAGCCGGAATGTTTTGGCACTTATTGATCACTGTACTTAGCTTTTCTAAAATAATATTTTCTATGGCTCTTGAACATTCAAAAATATACTGTATGTGGCTCTTGTTATGGAGGAACTTGCCCACTCCTGGTATAGATTCTTCGTAGATCACTTTTCTGAGTAGAGCTTTATCAAGTCTTGACTTGATAAAGCTCTACCTAGAGTCTACCTGGAGGTTATTCCGGGGATCAACTCCCCCGCGGCCCTGTCCACGACCAGGCCTCCTGGTGGATAAGGGCCTGATTAACCAGGGTGTCACTGCTGGCCGCACGTAGTCCAGCATATGAACCACAGCCCGGCTGATCCGGCACTGACTTTAGGTATCTGTCCAGCTCTCTCTTGAAGGCAGCCAGGGGTTTATTGGTAATTCCCTTTATGCTTGGTGGGAGGCTGTTGAACAGTCTTGGGTCCCGGACTCTTATGGTGTTTTCTCTTAGTGTACCAATGGCGCCCCTACTTTTAATTGGGGGTATTTTGTATCGCCTGCCCAGTCTTTTGCTTTCGTAGGGAGTGATTTCTGTGTGCAGATTTGGGACCATTCCTTCCAGGATTTTCCAAGTGTAGATTATGATATATCTCTCCCTCCTGCGTTCCAACGAGTACCAAGTCAAGTGCTTCCAAGCGTTCCCAGTAGTTAAGGTGCTTGACAGAACTTACACTTGCAGTAAAGGATCTCTGTACACTCTCTAGATTTGCGATTTCACCTGCTTTGAATGGAGATGTTAATGTACAGAAGTATTCCAGCCTAGAGAGAACAAGTGATTTGAAAAGGATCATCACTGGCTTGGCATCTCTCGTTTTGAACGTTCTCATTATCCAACCTATCATTTTCTTTGCACTTGTGATCGTGGCACTGTTGTGATCCTTGAAAGTGAGATCCTCTACACAATATTACAAGAACCCAAATGGAAATAAGTTACTTAGACATTTTTGAGTTATCCTGTAAGTAATTTACAAGTATGTTACTATGTATCATCATTGTACTTACGTGTACCTGTGAAAAGAATGGAAAATAATTATTGTATATGCATTAAAATCTCCGTTTATTGCACAGAGAAGCAGTCTTGCAGCTTGAGCAGCGAGTGTGCTGGTGCTGGTGGATCTTGTGTCAGCACTAAGTCTGCCAGGTGTGCTGGACACATGTTAACCAGTGTTTGCGATCATCCAAAATGCTTTTGTTGCATCCCACGTGAGTTTCATGATTATTATTATTATTATTATTATTATTATTATTATTATTATTATTATTATTATTATTATTATTATTATTATTATTATTATTATTATTATCACTAGTGTTAGTGTTATAATTACCATAATTATTGCACATTATTATTATTATTATTATTATTATTATTATTATTATTATTATTATTATTATTATTATTATTATTATTATTATTATTATCACTAGTGTTAGTGTTATAATTACCATAATTATTGCACATTATTATTATTATTATTATTATTATCATTATTATTATTATTATTATTATTATTATTATTATCGTAAATCATAGCAACATAATTAATATTGTCACAGGTATACAGAATTGTTTACCTTCTTTTGAAAAGAATGTAAACAAGTTTGATCCAAGAAAGTGTAGTAAAGATGTAATGCCTTTGATAGATCAATAGTCACGAGCATTAAAATCTTCCTTATAACCTTGAAAGGAATATTCATTATTATTTTCCCTATAGTACTCTTATACATATTCACTTTCAATTTCCTTTACACAGCCTCCCAAACACGTATATTAACTTCTGCAACTTCTTTTCAGAATCTCCAAAAAGCAGAGTGTCATCAGCAAAAACTAGCTGTGCCAAGTCCCATTTTACATAAGATTCGTATTATTTTTAATCCCACCGGTCTCCCGAACACCCTACCATTTGCTTCTTTTACAACCCCATCTATAAATATATTAAACAACCATGGTGACATTACACATCCCTGTCTAAGACCTACTTTTACCGGGAAGTAGTCTCCCTCTCTTCTACACACCCTAACCTCAGCCTCACTATCCTCATGAAAACTCTTTACAACAATAACTTACTATTTATTCCATACACTTGCAACATCTGTCACATTGCTCCTCTGTCCACCCAATCATATGGCTTTTCTAGGTCTACGAAAGCAACGAAGACTTCCCTACCATTATCTACATATTGTTCATTTATATGTTTCACTGTAATCACTTGATCTACACACTCCCTACTCTTTCTAAAGCCTCATTGTTCATCTGCTATCCTACTCTCCGTTTTACTCTTAATTCTTTCAATAGTAACTCAACCATACACTTTACCTGGTATACTCAGTAGGTTTATTTCACTCTCTGCCAGTCCCTCGGTACCTTCCCCTCTTTTATACATTTATTAAACCAAAAATACCAAGTTCCCCAAAACTATATCCTCACCTGTTTTTAACATTTTTGTACTGATCCCATCAATCCCAGCTGCTTTTCCCTCTTTTCATTCTAACCACAGCCTCACGCACCTCACCCACACTCACAACTGGCTCTTACTCACTCCTAAAATATGTTATACTTTCCTGGGCAATACATGAAATCACTGTCCCTCCCCCTTAATCAACATTTAGAACTCAAAATATTCCCTCCATCTTCACAATACCTCCAGCTCCCCATCTACTAATGCCCCTATTCTGTTTATAACTGTCAAATCCATTTGTTTCTTAGGTTTTCTCAATCTGTTTATCTCCAAAACTTTTCTTATTCTCAGCAAAATTGGTTGACAGCATCTCACCCACTTTATCAATTGATCTGCTGGTACACTCCATCACATGTCTTGTACTCATTCTTCTTACATCATTTTCGCTTAGTAATAACCTCTTTTATGCTAACTTTTTCTGTCATATCACCACTTTTACATCATTCCATCAATCACTCCTCTTTTCTCCTGCAACCACCTTCCTATATCCACGAACTTCTGCCCCATACTGCATTTTTAAAACTCTCTCCCCCTCTTCAACCCCCACTACATATACTCTCACTAGCCCACCTTTCTCCAATAATTGATTTCATTTCACCCTAACTTCCTCCTCCTCCCTTAGTTTATAAAATTTCACCTCTCTCTTACTTTCTCTTGCTATTTTTCTTCTACCCCCATCTACCTATCTCTCTAACTATAGCTACAACTGAATATTGATCTGATATGTCTGTTGCCCCTTTATAAACATTCATATCCTGATCTATCTATCAACCTTTTATCTACCAATACATACTCAGTTTAGTACAAACCTCTTTCTATACAAACTCAATTAAAGGCTCCAATTATCATTTACCCCTGACATTCCAAACTTATCTACTCTCTATGATGACTCAACCTCTACCATTCTTTATATTGATACACCCGCACAGGTCTAAACACGTTAAAGTAATTCAGTGAAAGAGTGGTGGAGACTCGATACTCTGTCCCCTAGTCATTATGTCTAGTCAGGCTCTTAGTTATCTCACTATGAAGTTTTTTTTTCACTTTTTTTTTTGTCTTCTAGCACATACGTGTGTGTGCGGAAATGCGAATGTGGAACGCATAGTAGGAGGAGTTGAGGTGAGTCCGCATGAATTTCCGTGGCTGGTGGGTCTTCAGTTTAATAACAAGACAATATACACTTGTGGTGGAAGCATCATCAACAATCTATACATCCTCACTGCTGGTCACTGTCTCTACGACTTGGAAACTTCCCAGCTTCGAGATCCCACCTGCATCAGGGTAGGAATAGCGGATCACAACCAAGCTTCCCACCAGGATGATGTCCCCGGTGTCACCCGCCTGGTCAATATCCAAGGATATTCCATTCATCCGAACTACAATTTATTTAATATAACTGACGACATAGCACTGGTGAAGCTAGCTCAACCTCTGGATCTATCATCACACAGAGAAATACGATCCGTCTGTCTTCCCCCAAATGACAACCAGACTTACCAAGGCCTGACAGCGACAGCTGCTGGATGGGGCTACGTCACTGAAAACTCCACCACACAACCAGATGTTTTACGTCAAGCCGGTATTACCATTCTGGATCCAACATGCCAGAACAAAACTGTAAATTTCGTAACTATAACACAAAATATGCTGTGTGCTGGAGAGGTCCAGGGGGGCGTGGACGCATGTCTTGGAGACTCTGGAGGTCCTCTCACTGTCACACAGGGAGGGAGACACATTATAGTGGGAATCACATCGTTCGGGGAAGGATGCGCCAGACCCAACATACCAGGTGTATATACCAGAGTGAGTAAATATCTCCCCTGGATCATGCAAAACACGCAGGATGCAACCTACTGTGCCAGTTTACCTAATGTTAAGAAGATGAAGGCAGCGAAATCTGCAAGAACAAGCAAAAAAACTTAAAATAAAAGGAACGAAAAACGCGAAAAAATTTACAAAAAAAAAAAAAAGCGAAAAAATTGTGAACAAACGCGAAAAAATCCAAAACAAAAAACGCAAAAGAACCCAGAACAGAAAATGGGAATGAGTGACGTAACTTCTGCTCTTACGCTATTTTCATAGCACATATGGTCATATATATGTCGTACCGATCAAGCCTAATCACCGAGTTAGGCTTACTCGCCATGAATATTTTTTTGGCCAAACTAGCAGAATATAATTTAATTTCTCGCCATAAATAACCTTATATCAGACTGAAGATTACGAAAAAAATTGATATCATTGATTTAAATATGTTTAAAACAATCTATGCTATAATTAGCAAAATTGAGCTATAAAAATTACGTTAGTTTAATTAAGGTTAATTAAGATTTCTAAGCTTAGTGCATGATTAAAAATTTTATATCAGTCAATGCAAAAAATTATCTATTATTATTTAAAAAAAATTTACAAAAATAATTTTACAAAAATTTAATTTTTGAGTGAGTTCGGGTTATTAGGGACGACATATACACAACCGACTTCGACGACGCTTCGGTCCGACTTGGACCATTAGGTAATTACTTCTCCAAGTTGGACCGTTACGTCGTGCTAAGTCTCAGTCTTCCAGGTGCCGGTAATTAGTGGGTGTTGTTCCAGTGTTCTGTCTCAGTGTTTATATTCACGTATGTTGTATCACCTTAAGAGGCACCTCAGTTCCTCTATCACTTTAAGAGGCACCTCAGTTCCTCTATCACTTTAAGAGGCACCTCAGTTCCTCTATCACCTTAAGAGGCACCTCAGTTCCTCTATCACTTTAAGAGGCACTTCAGTTCCTCTATCACCTTAAGAGGCACCTCAGTTCCTCTATCACTTTAAGAGGCACCTCAGTTCCTCTATCACTTTAAGAGGCACGTCAGTTCCTCTATCACCTTAAGAAGCACGTCAGTTCCTCTATCACCTTAAGAGGCACGTCAGTTCCTCTATCACCTTAAGAAGCACGTCAGTTCCTCTATCACCTTAAGAGGCACGTCAGTTCCTCTATCACCTTAAGAGGCACGTCAGTTCCTCTATCACCTTAAAAGGCACCTCAGTTCCTCTATCACCTTAAGAGGCACGTCAGTTCCTCTATCACTTTAAGAGGCACGTCAGTTCCTCTAGCACCTTAAGAAGCACGTCAGTTCCTCTATCACTTTAAGAGGCACGTCAGTTCCTCTAGCACCTTAAGAGGCACGTCAGTTCCTCTAGCACCTTAAGAGGCACGTCAGTTCCTCTAGCACATTAAGTGGCACGTCAGTTCCTCTATCACTTTAAGAGGCACGTCAGTTCCTCTATCACTTTAAGAGGCACGTCAGTTCCTCTAGCACCTTAAGAAGCACGTCAGTTCCTCTAGCACCATAAGAGGCACGTCAGTTCCTCTATCACCTTAAGAGGCACGTCAGTTCCTCTATCACCTTAAGAGGCACGTCAGTTCCTCTAGCACCTTAAGAAGCACGTCAGTTCCTCTCGCACCTTAAGAGGCACGTCAATTCCTCTATCACCTTAAAAGACACGTCAGTTCCTCTAGCACATTAAGAGGCACGTCAGTTCCTCTAGCACCTTAAGAAGCACGTCAGTTCCTCTAGCACCTTAAGAGGCACGTCAGTTCCTCTATCACCTTAAGAGGCACGTCAGTTCCTCTAGCACATTAAGAGGCACGTCAGTTCCTCTAGCACATTAAGAGGCACGTCAGTTCCTCTAGCACCTTAAGAAGCACGTCAGTTCCTCTAGCACCTTAAGAGGCACGTCAGTTCCTCTAGCACCTTAAGAGGCACATCAGTTCCTCTATCACCTTAAGGTAGACTTTATTGCTGTGTGAGAATGGGGTTAAGGCACTTTAGTCAGTGATAATTTGCGTGTGAACTAGGCTAACTGAACGCTCCTTGTTTATACAGAACAACCACTGTGAAAAAAATAGTAAAATTCCAAGCGCTTTCGTGACTTCTCACATTATCATAGTTCCCTGATAATGTGAGAAGTCACGAAATCTCTTGGAATTTCACTATTTTTTCACGGTGGTTGTTCTGCATATTGTGATATCACCTGTTTACTGTGATCTTATTGCTCTGTGAAACCCATTTCTGTTGGATTGTATAGATGTTGATCAGCTTCCCAAGTATTGTAACTAGAAATAATTAAGTAATATTTAAAGCAGTGTTGGCAAGACTACAACACAGGTGGTCAGCTGAGGTACGCAAGGGTGAGTGGCTTGTGTCAGCAGTCAGCCGCAGTGACCCTCAATGTATACAACACTGGCTTGTGCCAGCAGTCAGCCGCAGTGACCCTCAGTGTATACAACACTGGCTTGTGTCAGCAATCAGCAGCAGTGACTCTGCACACAACACTGGCTTGTATCAGCAGTCAGCAGCAGTGACTCTCTCTACACACAACACTGGCTTGTGTCAGCAGTCAGCTTCAGTGACCCTCTCTACACACAACACTGACTTGTGTCAGTAGTCAGCAGCAGTGACCCTCTCTACACACAACACTGGCTTGTGTCAGCAGTCAGCAGCAGTGACCCCTCACTGCACACAACATTGTCTTGTATCAGCAGTCAGCAGCAGTAACCCTCTCTACATACAACAATGACTTGTGTCAGTAGTCAGCAGCAGTGACCCTTTCTACACACAACACTGGTTTGTGTCAGCAATCAGCAGCAGTGACCCTCTCTACTCACAACATTGGCTTGTGTCAGCAGTCAGCAGCAGTGACCCTCTCTACACACAACACTGGCTTGTGTCAGCAGTCATTAGCAGTAACCCTCACTGCACACAACACTGGCTTGTGTCAGCAGTCAGCAGCAGTGACCCTCACTGCACACAACACTGGCTTGTGTCAGCAGTCAGCAGCAGGGGCCGTCTCTACATACAACACTGGCTTGTGTCAGCAGTCAGCAGCAGTGACTCTGCACACAACACTGGCTTGTATCAGCAGTCAGCAGCAGTGACTATCACTGCACACAACACTGGCTTGTGTCAGCAGTCAGCAGCAGTGACCCTCTCTACACACAACACTGGCTTGTGTCAGCAGTCAGCAGCAGTGACCCTCACTGCACATTACTGACGTCAGTCTCTGCACAATATTTCCACATAACTCTGATTATCTTCCACACCTTAAACATTTAAGTATCAGAGGCAACAGAGACTTAAATTATGTATCAGCACAGACAGCACAGCAGTCTACATTTACACAGCAGACCATGGAACGGGTGAGGTTTGAACCATGGCGAGTGAATCGTAAAACTGCAGGCCAGTGTGTAAGCCACTGGGCCAGCTGCTACAATAAGATTCATCCGACTTTTGATAGAGTTCGCCACAGACACGCTGGCTGGAGATTCATCTGCACAACTTTGTATTTGTGGTCACAGTGGTGGCTCATGCTAACCTCCCTATGGTGTATAAATATACCTTGTTGGATGAATGTTATTGTAGCCAGCTGGCCCAGTGGCATACTCACTGGTAACGAGTTTTACGACTCACCCGCCATAAATTCAAACCTTCCCCATTTCGTGGTTTCTTTACAATTGTGTTATTACGAATTCGTGAGTACACTGACTCAGTATTTCCCCTCATATTTGCTTTATCGAGTTCCAGAAAAGGCAATTGAGTTGAGAAGATTTATGTCACTGAAGACGTCACCTCAGTCAATAATCTTTTCCATCATGACGTCGACGCTACATTTCCCCGGAAGGTAGAGCTTAACTGATCAAAAATAAACATACCTGCTCTAAGACCTGACTTTTTATTAAACCAATCAAATCTAATTACACTTTTAAAGCGATTTCATTATTTCTAAGCTTGTGTTCCCTTGTCTACATTAGGGAAGATAATATGCCTAAGATACCCCATAACTCTGTACTGTGTCACATAACTCTGTACTGTGTCACATAACTCTGTACTGTGTTCCATACCTCCGTACTGCGTCCCATGACTGTGTACTGTGTCACATAACTCTGTACTGTGTCACATAACTCTGTACTGTGTCACATAACTCTGTACTGTGTCATAATAACTCTGTACTGTGTCACATAACTCTGTACTGTGTCACATAACTCTGTACTGTGTTCCATACCTCCGTACTGCGTCCCATGACTGTGTACTGTGTCACATAACTCTGTACTGTGTCCCATAACTCTGTACTGTGTCACATAACTCTGTACTGTGTCACATAACTCTGTACTGTGTCACATAACTCTGTACTGTGTCACATAACTCTGTACTGTGTCACATAACTCTGTACTGTGTTCAATACCTCCGTACTGCGTCCCATGACTGTGTACTGTGTCACATAACTCTGTACTGTGTCACATAACTCTGTACTGTGTCACATAACTCTGTACTGTGTCAAATAACTCTGTACTGTGTTTCATACCTCCGTACTGCGTCCCATGACTGTGTACTGTGTCACATAACTCTGTACTGTGCCACATAACTCTGAACCATACCCCCGGCCGGGATTGAACCCGCGGTCATAGAGTCTCAAAACTCTATGACCGCGGGTTCAATCCCGGCCGGGGGTATGGTTTATTTGCAATCGTGTCATTACGATTTCTTAAGCCACATAACTCTGTATTGTGTTCCATATCTCTGTACTGTGTTCCATATGTCTGTACTGTGTCACATAACTCTGTACTGTGTCACATAACTCTGTACTGTGCCACATAACTCTGTACTGTGTCCCATAACTCTGTACTGTGTCCCATAACTCTGTACTGTGTCCCATAACTCTGTACTGTGTCACATAACTCTGCACTGTGTCACATAACTCTGTACTGTGTTCCATAACTCTGTGCTGTGTCCCATACCTCTGTACTGTGTCCCATAGCTCTGTACCGTGTTACATATATTTGTACTGTGTCCCATAACTCTGTACTGTGTCACATAACTCTACACTGTGTCCCATAACTCTGTACTGTGTCCCATAACTCTGTACCGTGTCACATAACTCTGTACAGTGTCCAATACCTCTTTACTGTGTCCCATGACTGTGTACTGTGTCACATAACTCTGTACTGTGTCACATAACTCTGTACTGTGCTACATAACTCTGTATTGTGTCATATAACTCTGTATTGTGTTCCATATCTCTGTACTGTGTTATATATTTCTGAACTGTGTCACATAACTCTGTACTGTGTCACATAAGTCTGTACTGTGTTCCATAACTCTGTACTGTGTCACATAATTCTGTACTGTGTCCCATAACTCTGTACTGTGTCCCATATCTCTGTACTGTGTCTTATATCTCTGTATTGTGTCACATAACTCTGTACTGTGTTCCATAACTCTGTACCGTGTCACATATATTTGTACTGTGTCCAATAACTCTGTACTGTGTCACATAACTCTGTACTGTGCCCCATAACTCTGTACTGTGTCCCATAACTCTGAACTGTGTCACATAACTCTGTACTGTGTCACATAACTCTGTACTGTGTCCCATAACTCTGTACCGTGTCACATATATTTGTACTGTGTCCCATAACTCTGTACTGTGTCACATAACTCTGTACTGCGTCCCATAACTCTGTACTGTGTCCCATAACTCTGTACTGTGCCACATAACTCTGTACTGTCACATACCTCTACACTGTGTTCCATAACTCTGTACTGTGTCACAATTCTGTACTGTGTTCCATAACTCTGTACTGTGTCTCATATCTCTGTACTGTGTCACATAACTCTCTACTGTGCCAAATAACTGTACTGTGTCACATAACTCTGTACTGTGTCACATAACTCTGTACTGTGTCCCATAACTCTGTACCGTGTCACATATATTTGTACTGTGCCCCATAACTCTATAATGTGTCACATAACTCTACACTGTGTTCCATAACTCTGTACTGTGTCACATAATTCTGTACTGTGTCCCATAACTCTGTACTGTGTCCCATATCTCTGTACTGTGTCTCATATCTCTGTACTGTGTCACATAACTCTGTACTGTGTCATATAACTCTGTACCGTGTCTCATATATTTGTACTGTGTCCCATAACTCTGTGCTGTGTCACATAACTCTGTACTGTGTCCCATAACTCTGTACTGTGCCCCATAACTCTGTACTGTGTCGTTGTACAAGAATTGTATACAATACCGACAAGATGAAATTAAGACACATGTGCAACATCTTCTAATTTTCCATTTTTTCATATTGGACCGAGGAAGCCGCTGTCTGGCAGAATCTGGGTATCTTTATCTGGGTATCATTATTGTAGACGTTTCGCCATCCAGTGGTTTTATCAATACAAATTCCAGGACATAACTTGAAGACAGTAGAACCATGTTCTACTGGGTAGTTCTCTTTGGGTAGGACCTACTTCCACTGTGAAATCCCGCCTACCAGTGACTATGCCCTCGTCTGCTTCCCGTCCCATTTCCACCTGACGTTACTATATAAGCGCCAGGCTCCTTGCTTCTGCTTCAGTATCTCCACGACTACGATGCTCTTCGCACCTACTCCTAAGTTAAGGGACTGATTACCTCATCTTCTGTACATAGTTCTCCTGTCTTCAAGTTATGTCCTAGAATTTGTATTGATAAAGCCACTGGATGGCGAAACGTCTGCAATAAAGATACCCAGATGTTGCACATGTGTCTTAATTTCATCTGTACTGTGTCACATAACTCTGTACTGTGTCACATAACTCTGTACTGTGTCCCATAACTCTGTACTGTGTCACATAACTCTGTACTGTGTCCCATAACTCTGTACTGTGTCACATAACTCTGTACTGTGTCACATAACTCTGTACTGTGTCCCATAACTCTGTACTGTGTCACATAACTCTGTACTGTGTCACATAACTCTGTACTGTGTCACATAACTCTGTACTGTGTCACATAACTCTGTTCTGTGTCCCATAACTCTGTACTGTGTCCCATAACTCTGTACTGTGCCACAAATATTCAAGAAGTGTGAACCATAAATATGTGTGATATAAATATGTGTGATATAAATATGTGTGATATAAATATGTGATATAAATATGTGTGATATAAATATGTGTGATATAAATATGTGTGATATAAATATGTGTGATATAAATATGTGTGATATAAATATGTTAAATATGTGTGAAATAGTTTAGAAAATAGATAAGGTGAAGAAGTAGACACTTGTGCAGGATTTGGGAATGTTCAATGAGGAAAGATTCTGCCAGCCAGCGGCTTCCTCGGTCCAATATGGAAAAGTGGAAAATTAGAAGGAATTTGAGGTAATCAGTCCCTCAGTCTGGAGTCAATGTGTTCATTCCATCAATTTAGAGAAAAGGTTGATGGACTCATTACCTCATTCCCCTCCTCATCTTCCACAGTTCTTCTCTATATTGGACTGAAGAAGCCACTGGTTGGAGAAACTTTTCTTGTATTAAGAGTCTTCAATAAAGAGTCCTCAATAAAGAGTCTTCAATAAAGAGTCCTCAATAAAGAGTCTTCAATAAAGAGTCCTCAATAAAGAGTCCTCAATAAAGAGTCCTCAATAAAGAGTCCTCAATAAAGAGTCTTCAATAAAGAGTCCTCAATAAAGAGTCCTCAATAAAGAGTCCTCAATAAAGAGTCCTCAATAAAGAGTCTTCAATAAAGAGTCCTCAATAAAGAGTCCTCAATAAAGAGTCCTCAATAAAGAGTCCTCAATAAAGAGTCCTCAATAAAGAGTCCTCAATAGTCTTCAATAAAGAGTCCTCAATAAAGAGTCCTCAATAAAGAGTCCTCAATAAAGAGTCCTCAATAAAGAGTCCTCAATAAAGAGTCCTCAATAAAGAGTCCTCAATAAAGAGTCCTCAATAAAGAGTCCTCAATAAAGAGTCCTCAATAAAGAGTCCTCAATAAAGAGTCCTCAATAAAGAGTCTTCAATAAAGAGTCCTCAATAAAGAGTCCTCAATAAAGAGTCCTCAATAAAGAGTCCTCAATAAAGAGTCCTCAATAAAGAGTCCGAGAGTCAACTTAAATGTACAATATCCAGTCAACTTTATGCTATTTTATTAAATAGTGTTTTACAAATTTGTTAACTATTCTCCTTCTTTGCATTATTATTATTATTATTATTATTATTATTATTATTAGTAGTAGTAGTAGTAGTAGTAGTAGTAGTAGTAGTAGTAGCAGTAATAGTAGTAGTAGTATTACCATTATTATTATTATTTTTTATTTTATTAACACATCTGCCGTCTCCCACCAAGGCAGGGTGGCCCGAAAAAGAAAAACTTTCACCATCATTCACTCCATCACTGTCTTGCCAGAAGGGTGCTTTACACTACAGTTTTTAAACTGCAACATTAACACCCCTCCTTCAGAGTGCAGGCACTGTACTTCCCATCTCCAGGACTCAAGTCCGGCCTGCCGGTTTCCCTGAACCCTTTCATGAATGTTACTTTGCTCACACTCCTATAGCACGTCGAGTCCGAAAAATCATTTGCCTCTATTCGCACCTTTTTAACACTCACGCATGCTTGCTGGAAGTCCAAGCCCCTCGCACACAAAACCTCCTTTAACCCCTCCCTCCAACACTACCTAGGCCAACCTCTTCCCCGCCTTCCCTTCATTTATACACATTCGAAATCAATTTATTTGATTCCATCTTCTCTACATGTCCGAACCCCTTCAACAACCCTTCCTAAGCTCTCTTGGTAATAGTATTGGTAATCCACACCTCCTCCTTGAAGGTAGCTGGAGTGTAGCAGGTGACTGGAGTGCAGCAGGTGACTGGAGCGTAACAGCT